CAACTGTTGTCGCTTGCAAAGGCAGTCTACTAGTGAGACCAGATCAAGCATCATGAACGCATCCGTCTCTCCGGCTTTTTTTAGCACAAAGGTATCCTTTCATTTTGCTGGTATGCAGGCCGTTTTCCGGTTTTAAGGCATGACAACCGCATAATAGTGGTGGACTCTATTAAGCCCTACACAGGTTTTCCTAAAAAAATTATGGGTTGGCGATCTATTGCCTTTGCATTATCCCGCTTTTCCTTTTTTCGTCTGTTACGTTATCGACAGTGGTTTCTGTTGTTCAATCGGTCGTCCTAATCTTTCATATATGCAGCATTTTAATGCAGCAACGCCTTTTCACTATTTGTTATGCCAATTAGACGAAATCATACTCACATTTCGAAATACTTGTACTAGGTGTTTGCAGGAGATGGATACAGATTACTAATCGTTTTGATGAGGAACGTTAAGTGACCTGAGAGAGCATGCTGCTTTCAATGTGAAATTGCCATTAAGGCCGTCACGATAGACCATTAACCATGTGAAAACGTTGACGTTGGCTTAAAATGTGAGCGTGGCCGATTTTTCAGCGCAGTGATAGCTATGTTCGTTGGGAACTCTAGTGTAACGTCGGTCCTGCAGCTCAGTTTTTATTTAAACTAATGAGCGGCGATTTCATACACATCTGATGCAATGCTATAGTTTACGTACATTTAGGGCAATGGGTAAATATAGGAAATCTTGTAGTTTTGCACCTCAAAATGAAACAAAAGTTTGGCAAAAGAAGCCTGTTAAAGACCTCATAATCACGCCCTTGTTGTGTGAAGTGCGTTGACATCTTTTTGTAGAGTAGCCTTCTTTTAGTCAGTTATTTTTCAATTTTAGTTTATACCACCAGATGCGCGGCTTGATAAAAAGAACCGCATAAAAGGCAAACAGAGTACAAATTCGAAGCGTATCAACCAAACCGTCTGCTCCTGCAAGGACTCTCTTACACTAACTGACGTTCCGAAGTACTCTGTCATCATTAATCACACCAAATCTCTCGCGAACGCCCTTAGTACGTCACAACAATTTTTTTATATAGTTTTTGCATTGCTTAAACAGCATTTCCAGTTTTCCCTTTCTTTTGCGCATTATGCTAGAAACAGTGGGATGTCATGTGTCATGAATTCAAAGGTCTGAAATTTATTGTGAAATTCCAGCGTATATTTTGATCAGTTGGAGTCAGTTATTACTTAACACACGTCAGGAGTGGAGCCTAATCGCCCACCTATTTCGATTAAATGCAATCAGAGTATAGCTATAGCCATATCCGAGGCACATTTACAACTTCTGCTTATGGTAAAGGCTTATTTGTTAACTTAAAAAGTCCACCTCACTATTATTAAGCACTTTTGGTCAAAACAACTGTCGTATTGTCTCCTTAACTCATAATATTCTTGGATGAATAATCCGGTGATCCTCTCCTTAAAGTATTCTAAAAATTTTGATACTGAGCTGGTATTCTGTACTTGTAGATGGTAAGGTGTTTTTACGGCCAGTATTTCCTGAGCACTCGAAGATGTTCTTCACATGTTTAATCCAGTTCAGTTTCTGTTTACCTAGCTAGTTTAGGGGA